AGAGAGAGAGAGAGAGAGGGGGGGGGAGAGAGAGAGAGAGAGAGAGAGAGAAAGAGAAACATATAGAGATAACGATTAAGAGAGAGAGAGAGAGAGAGAGAGAGAGAGAAACAGAGAGAGAGAGAGAGAGAGACACACAGTGACATTTCACAGCAGCCACATATTTATGGTATATATGTCGGAGCGGGGGAGTGAGAGGATAAGGCAACACTGATGAGCAAGACGAATGCGGGGCTAATGACCGGGAAGCGATGAAAACGATAATACGCAGGATGAGGCGGCGCGATGAGAGTCGATGGGGAAGGGGAGATGGAGGAGGACGAGCCCTGATGATGATGAGGCGGGTCAGCGAGGATGGTAACAGGCGAGGAGGGGAATGACGCATGAAAAGAAGGAGGCTGAAGCGGAGGACTGGGCGCAGGAGCGTCGAGGATGGTACGCGAGGGTTGACGAGGATCCGAGAAGACGATCGAGAAAGATACTGCGTACGAAGCAGGATGAGGAACATGATAGGCAGTGATGATGATGAGGAGGTGGAGGTTGATGGGTAAGCGAGGCATAGGAGGAGGAGGAGGAGGAGGAGGAGGAGGAGGAGGAGGAGGAGGAGGAGGAGGAGGAGGAGGAGGAGGAAGAGGAAGAGGAGGAGGAGGAGGAGGAGGAGGAGGAGAAGGAGGAGGAGGAGGAGGTAGAGGTGGAGGAGGAACAGGGAGAAATGTGCGGAGGAGCAAGGGCACGTGCGATGGAGAAGCGCGGATGGAGAGACGGATGAGGAGGAGGCGGAGGAGGACGATCACATGTGATTATAATTTTTTGGTGATGACGGGGGTGGTGATGATGCTGATGCTGATGCTGGCGATGATGATGGTGGACGTGATTGTGATAATGTTCATGCCGACGTTGCCGACGATGATGCTGATGGTGATGATGATGATGGTGGTGCTTGTGGTGACTGACAGGGAGGTTGATCATGGTGCTTACGATGACGACTGCGATGGTGATGATGATGACGATGATGATGCTGATGCGGTTACGTGTGATGATGATGATGATGATGATGATGATGATGATGATGATGAGGATGAGGATGATGATGATGGTGGTGATGATGATGATAATGGTGGTGATGACGATGATGAGGAAGCTGAAGGCGCTGGTGATACGGATGCTGCTGATGATGACGAGGGTGCTGATGATGATGCTGATGATGCTGATGACGATGAGGATGCTGATGATGCTGATGATGCTGATGATGCTGATGTTGATGTTGATGCTGATGATGGCGATGCTGAGGGTAGATAGTGATGGTGGCGGTGGTGATGATGATGCTGCTGCTGATGATGCGGATGATGGGTATGACGACACTGACGACGACCCAGATGACTACGTCTGACGATTATGTTGTTGCTTCAGCTGATGTCGATGCCGATCACTCTGCGGACTCTGATAATGATGATGGTGATTGTGCTGATGATGATTATGATGCTGCTGCTGATGATGACGATTTCGAACATGTTGATGGTGCTGCTGCTGCTGCTGATGATGATGATGATGTTTCGGATGATGCTGATTTTGCTGATGATGATGCTGCGGGTCATGATGATGCTGGTGGTGGTGGTGGTGACGACGGCGCTTCTGTTGCTCTCGGCAATGTTGTTGACGATGATGATATTGGTGGTGATGATGGTGATGCTGATGTTGACGCTGAGGGTGATCGTGATGATCTTGTTGCTGATTAGAAGCTGCTGCTGATGATGGTGATGGTGCTGATGCTGCTTATGATGATGCAGATGTTGTTCTTGCTGGTCATGAGCATGCTGATATGTATGCTGATGCCGATGAGTATGATGCTGACGCTGCTGCTGATGATGACGATGATAACGATGATGCTGATGAGGATGGTGATGATGATGCTGATGATGGTTATGCTGCTGATGATGATGGTGGTGGTGATGCTGTTGATGATGATGATGATGGTGGTAACAATTAGTGCAAGGGTATTACAACTAATAATATAAGCGATTGTTATGTCGACGATCTCGATAGTACTGGTGATGATGCCAATGGTGCGGATGATGCTGCTGCTGATGATTATGCTGAGGCTGCTGTTGCTGCTGATGGCGATGTCGAAATGGACGCAGGGGGAGAAGAAGCGGGACGAAGGGGAGAAGCGAGGAGGGGAGGCCACGAGAAGCCAGCACGAGGACGAGCCAGGAGCAAGGATCGAAGAGGTGAAGGAGGCACGAGGAACAGGCGAAGGAGGATGAGGAAGAATAATAGGGAGAACATGGGAAGGAGGATGATGATGAGGAGGAGGAGGAGGAGGAGGAGGAGGAGGAAGAAGAGGATCAGGCAGTGTTTCAGGGTGAAGGGGGGAAACTTCAGTTGAAGATGAGGAGGGCATGGAGGAGGAGGAGGAGGAGCAGGAGGAGGAGGAGTAAGACGATGTGGAGGAAAAGGGAGCAGGGAGGAGGGCGAGGAGGAGGATGAGGAGGAGGCTGACGAGATGGAGGAGGAGGAGGTGGAGTGGGACGGGCTGCAGGGAGGACTCGGGATCGCTGGAGCACGGTACCTGTCCCGTGCTCGACGCGGGGGGGGGGGTCCTTGTGCCGCGGGCCGCGCTACGACTGGGGCGCGGAGGCCAGAGCCGGCGGCGAGGCAGCGGTTCCGAAGTCGGGGCCTGGGCGACGGGCACCCCTCGGCCACCGCGGCCGAGCACCAGCAGGGCACTCCTCCTGACTCGACGCGGGGCTGAGATCGTGGGCCTACGGTCGGACCGAGGCGTAAGAACATGCTCGGTCGAGGGAGGGTGCCCGATGTTGTTTGTTTTTTGCACGTACGTGTGCAACCTGGGTTAAGGGTGCCCTCGAGCGTTCTCAATTTCGGCAGCTCTGTTCGTTCGTTGAGGTACGGCTGCGGTTCCAGGCCATGCCTTTCCGTGCTCACCATGCCCTCGTCCTCACGTCCTCAAGGGGGCGGGCGGACATTCAATTTGCTTCCAACGCCTTCCTGCTTCATGCTTCTACCCACTTCTTCTGACCGACGGGTACGCCCGTCCAGACAAGTCGATTGAGGAGATCTGCACGGGTTCACTCGACATGGCATTCGAGGGCGCTGGTGCAGTCCGCAGTCGGTGTCGCCAATCGACGCGCGCATCGCCGGACACATCCTGCTGCATTCTGACGTCGATTTACCGCCCCGCTGGGGTACACTCGGAATGCGGTGCCGTGCGCACGTGGCAGATTTTTTTGTGTTCTTGTTTTTGTTTTTTTGTCCGAAGGGTGCCCTGTCTCTGAATCTTCGATATCGACCAGCAGCGGCTGACCGTTAGAGGTGCTTTGCCAGGCGCGGGTTCGGCGCCTCGTACAGCAACGCCTCACCTCAGGGCGGGCTCGCCCCTGGCATGTGTGGGGGCGAGCAGGAGCCAGGCCCACCAGCGTGTCCTCCTCTGAGATGGCCGTTTGGGCCCCAGGGGTGGTGGCACTTCTCACGAGCGGCGAACGTGTCCACATCCACGCCCTCGCTCGCGGGCGATGTTCCCCCCCCCCCCCCACACACCCCGGAGTTCTCGACGAGGGTGAGGCCGCTCAGGACGAGGAGGGAATGCCTGGGATGCACCCCGAGGGGGGCTGCTCGAACGCACGCCTATCGAGGATGGACCCCCCCCCCCATCGTATATCCCAGGGTTCGGCCCAAAATTTCGGGTCCATTCGAACACCTCCCAAAGCCTGGGACAGGGTTCGACATATGCCCTGCTGCTCGCGGTCTGGATTCCGACGCGCGATCCCGCGGATACGCGGCCGCACGGATATACCTTTCACTCGGGGCATCTCCGCGAACACAAGCCGCGTATCCGCGGGCAGGGTCGCTGCCCATTGGCCACTGGCCCCGTTCGCGAGGCCGTAGACACGAACACCTTTTTCGCCCACGAACTTCGCCGCTGCCCTCCTCCTCCTTGTCCTCCTCCTCCTCCTCCTCCTCCTCGTACTCCTCCTCCTCCTCCTCCTCCTCCTCCTCCTCCTCCTCCTCCTCCTCCTCCTCCTCCTCCTCCTCCCCCCCCTCCTCCTCCTCCTCCTTCTCCTCCTCCTCCTCCTCCTGCAAGACAGGGCCCCGCGAAGTGTCTCGGCGGGCAGCGCGGCGGACACGCGGTTTCGGGCCACGAGGGGAGCTCCAGAGAGGCCCACGCCGGACTCGGCCAGGACTTCGGGCTCGCTCCTCCTCCTGGTGCGCTTGCGGGTTGTCGCCTCGTGGTTTCGTGTCCTCCCCGCCCTCGCCATCCCCCTCGCCTTTCCCTCTCTGGCTCTCTTCGTTCACATCGCCACATTTTGGTTCTCCCTCGTTGCAGGAGCTTGCCTACCATGGCAGGTCGGCTCGTGTGACCGTCCTGTTTGGTTGGGCGGTCTTCTGCTTCATGCTACGTTGCTCGTCACGCTGGGGCGAGATTCAGCGGTCGCGCTCCTCAACTCCTGTCCATTCAGAACATCAGGAGCGAAAGATGGACATACGCGTACATGAACAACGTTGGCTTCAAAAGCATGCGCTGCGCGAGCGTTCGTATCACGAAATTTGTCTCTCATTGCGGAAGGGTCGCATTTACATTATTAAGTGGTTGGGGGCCCTGCGCAGGCCGTGCCGCCAGCCACCCCCCTCGGGGGCTGCTGCCAGGGGCTGCCGGGGTCTGTCTCGGCCTCCGGGCGGGCGCGGGAGAGCCCCCGAAAGAGGGGCCCCCGTGTCGGCCACGCGCAGAGGGGGCCGTCCCTCTCCTCCTTCCTCCCTTCGCCTCGCTTCCCTGCTCCGTCAATCTTTCCTCTTCCTCGCTCAACCTTGCCATTCCCCGCCTTTTTCTCCTCCGCCTCCCTCCTCCTGCTTATGATGCCCCCCCTCCTCCGACCCCCCCCTCGTCGTCGTCGTCGTCGTCGTCGTCGTCTTCCTCCTCCCCTTCCACCCCAACGTCCTCCTCTTCGATGTCCTCCTCCCAGTCCTCCCCCTCCCCTGTCCTTCTCGGCTCAAGCGAGACAGGGGGGGTGACGTTCCACGGCGCGCGCTCGCTCGTGCGGGCGGGCGAGTGCTTCCATGCAGAAGTGCGCAAACCCGGAGTGCGAGTACGCTGCGAATCCCGACCCCTCGGTGTCTGTGGGCTACTGCTGCGACAAGTGCGAGGGCCGCCACAACGGGGAGGAGCCCGCGGGGTGCCACCGTGTATCTGAGCTGTTGCCCACACCGATCAGGGATCGACGGTCAGGGATGCTGTGAACATGTTTGTGCAATGCCAGCATCCCCAGCCCCCGGCCGCCGCACCTTCCCTCCTTGTGCTCACCCTTAGAAGGTTCAGCTGGGGTGTTACTCCAGCCCTTGGTTTTTGTCGAGCCAGGGCGCTCCAGCAACCCATGCCGAAAATCAGGAGGGGACAAAAACACGCAGACGCAATCAACCGTCGACTCCCAGGGAAGTATGGGAAACCACGGGAAGTGGGGGGGAAAACGAAAACCCAGAGAATACGGAAAAAGATGGGGTATCCCAGGATTTGCGTGTCTATGTGTTTGTGTGTCCCTGGGCCCTTCTCGAACACAGGGGTGCGACCTGGCAACGTTTTTTTTTGGTAGTGTATCGAGCGCGAGCGCTTCGGCAGTCCACGGCGTGCGCTTCGGCGCTGCTTCACCTTGCGCGAGCCTTCCCGCCGCTCCGGCAGTACACAAAGGGCGTGACGACGCCGTCGCCGTCGGCGCTGTGATCGTCGCCGTCGCCGCTCTCGGTGTTCCCGCCGTGGCCGAGGGCGTGGCCGCTGTGGCTGTGGTCGTCGCCGTCGCCGCGCCGCCGGCGCCGCCGTCGTCGTCGTCGTCGCCGTCGTCGTCGCCGCCGCCGCCCTCGCCGTCGCTGCCGCCGAGGTTTGTGGCTGCGTACGGGTTCCCACCAGCAACGCGTTCCGTCGACTGCACTCTGGTTGTCCGCCTGCTTCTTCAGACCACCGTGTAAAGTTTTAAGTCGGGCCTGCCCCTCCACATGAATATTCAAAAATAGTCAAAACATAGTCTGGGTACGATTTGTTTGATCATTGTTTGACCATTTTTGAATATGTTTGAGCTTTTTTTGATTTTGCGTCCAGAATCCGCCAGTAGGGGGACATGCCTGACCTAAGTATAGCTGGCCTCCGCCGACAGGAGTGGGCGTTCGAGGGGAAGAAGAAGCACACCGCCTACTGCACCAGCAAGTACGACGACTCCTCCTACGCGCAGGGCGGCGGCTGCTGCGGGCCGGCCAGCTGGACCAGCGCCCCGAAGGCCGGCAGATCGAGAGCTGGGGTTAAGGCGGGCGTGTCCTTCTACAAGAGGAATATTCAAACATAGTGAAAATATTGTTTTGGGACGATCTTTCCCTACCTAGGCTCTGCCTAGAAGGGTTCTTACCCTACGTGCTTAAGGGGCCGGGCAGTGGAACACGCCCCGGGCGGTTCCCCCAGGATCCGCTCCGCGGTTCCCCCAGTTACGCCTCCTTAGCTTAGCGATGTTTATTTCATCTTAGCCTAGCTTATTTCATCTTAGCTGAGCTTAGCTTCATCTTAGCTCAGGTTTACCTTAGCTTAGCTTACCTTCATCTTAGCTTCGCTGAGCTTTAGCATAGCAGAGCACAGCACAGCATAGTAGAGCATAGCAGAGCGTAGCATAGCATAGCGCAGCACAGCGTATCATAGCATAGCCCAGCATAGCATCAACAGCGCAGCATAGCATAGCATAGCATAGCATAGCATAGCATAGCGCAGCACAGCACAGCACAGCATAGCACAGCGCAGCATAGCATAGCATAGCAGAGCAGAGCATAGCATAGCATAGCATGGGTGTCATTCCCTACCTAGGCTCTGTCTAGAGGGTTAGCTTAGCTTAGCTTAGCTTAGCATAGCGCAGCGCGGCATTCGCATCGCATAGCATCGCATAACATTGCCAACCACAGCATAGCATAGCATAGCGCAGCATATCATATCATACCATAGCATAGCATTTCGTATCACACCATAACACAACACAGCATAGCATAGCACAGCATAGCGCAGCTTAGCTCAGCATCGCATAGCTTAGCATAGCATCGTATAGCTTATCATAGCACAGCACAGCATGCCATAGCATAGCTTAGCATATCATAGCATTTCATATCATAGCATAGCGCAGCATAACACAGCATATCATAACATAGCATATCATAGCATAGCGCAGCATAGCATGGCACATCATAGCATAGCATAGCATAGCAACTCATGCTGCTTTCCTAGGGGCTCCAACTTCTAGGTAGGGTCGCACTGGGGTGATGTTTGACTATGTTTGACAAATTTGGGATTTTGTTGTTGTTGTGGTTGTTGTTGTTGTGATTGTGGTTGGTGTTGTCGTTCTCGGTGCTGTGGTTGTTGCTGTTGTTGTTGTCGTTCTCGGTGTTGTGGTTGTTGCTGTTGTTGTTGTTCTTGGTGTTGTGGTTGTTGTCGTTGTTGTTGTTGTTGTTGTTGTTGTTGCTGTTGTTGTTGCTGTTGTATGTTTTGCGTTTCTTCCAAAATCCGCCTGTAGGGGGGCATGCCCGACCTAACGCTGATGGAGGGTGAGAGACCCGGAGCGAGCCTTTGCAGCTCGCCGTTCTTTCGGGGGTGTTGTCTCGGGGGGGGGGGGGGGTGCTCGTCGGTTGCTGGAAGTAGGTGTGTTTGTTTTGGACGGCAGATCCTCGTCTTCGGGTGCCTCCCTGCTTCGAGAGTCGAAGCGCCATCCTTCCCTCTTCCCTCGTCGGGGCCGGGTCGGAAGTCCTCATGGTTCAAACGCCCTCCTACTTGAGTGTGATGTGCCTGTGCATGTCTCCCGTCCGACGTGCAGGTCGTCAACAGGGGCTGCTGGCCCAATCCCAGAGCCCAACACCAGAGTAATCGCCCGTCCTCCTTCGGTTTGTTCCCCCACAGTCTCTTCCCCCTCATTTTTCTCACCCTCCTTCCTCCTGCTACTTCTCCCGCTCCTCCTGCTCTGGCTCTGGCTGCTGCTGCTACTCCTCCCGCTGCTGCTGCTCCTCCTCCCCTCGGATCCTGCACGCTACTGGGCGTGTTCTTCGCGGTCTGACTTCTGCCCTAAGAGGCGCATCATGTCACGCCCAGCGCAAACCATTGCCCCAAAAGCGCGAGCATTTCACACGGAGAAATCCAAGATCGTCATCTTGGGCTTTGGCCCTTACGTTTCCCCCGCCCCAACTCGCTTCCCTCCTTCGTGTGAATGTTGTGTCGATTCCCTTTTCTGCTCCAGGCACGCCCAGGGGATGGTGGGAGAGCCACCCAGGACTGCCAGCCCCACGTGGCAGCATTCCTGGCACGAGTATTGGGCCCGACTGCTGCCATGCTGGCTCCAGGCGTGGCGAGATCACAGCACTGGCTGCCAGCGACCTGCCTGGCCCCTCTTTCCGAGGACGCAAGATCAAACTTTTCCGTCGGCGGCGAGGCAGAGGCAGTCCGCTCCAGCGCGCGGCTAATCGTGGCCACCGAGAGGCGAATTGCCCGGCGTGCAAGACGCAGGAAAGAGAAGACGAGGGCGGCCGCGCGAGGGGAGGAGGGGGGGAAGCGCTCAGACGTGGAAGAGTTCCGCGCAAGACCAAGCCCAGGGGATAGTAAACTCGACCGTCAGTCGAAAAACAAATGAGTGTTTCAGGCGATCGCAAACATGGACCAAGGGGCGTGGATTAGCGACGGGTCCCGTTTCCGTTCGGAACCGCGGATTTCCGCCGCCCAAAGAGGCGGCACCGGCCGCATTTTAGGGAGGGCACTTCCCCCGATCCACGATTTGGCGACCGCGCGCCAAATCCATGGATCGCTAATCCATGCCTGCGCGCCCCCGACCTCAGCCCTCCGCCCTCGCCATTGGAGGGCCAAGCCTGCATGCTTCTAGAAGACCAACATCTGGGGCCGATGCCAAACACCGTTCTCACGTCCGGGCCGAAAGCGTTTATGGACACATTGGATGCCGTGACGTCCATAGACACTTCCGGGGTGGATACGTCTATGGACAACGCGGCCGTTGTTTTCGGCGCGGTGCAAGGTCGGAGAAAGGGTAGATCCGTCTACGGTGTGTTACTGTTCTAGAGCAGGTCCCACATGGTACTCCAACCTCGCCAGCCTCTTCCCCCGCTCGCCCGCCGCCTCCCCTGCTGCCCCGCCGATGCCCCCTCCCCCCCGGTGCAGCTCCACTCCTGCCGACACATCGCGCGGCTCTCCTGCTGCTGCTGCTGCTGCTGCCACTTCCGCTCGCCGCCCGTGCGTCGACTGCGCTCTGCAGAGGCGTGGCATGCCACACAGCCCGCGTGCGTCAACGGGAGTCGACTACACGTACGAGTGACCTTTTGCCGGAGTGACCTATCGGTGCGGGCCCAAAGGGGTCCCCCGATCGCCGATCGCGATGCGGCAGTAGCGTCTTGCGCGCTTGTGTTTGGGCCCCCCGCGGCCACCAAGAAGCCGCGCACCAAGGGTCACTCTTACTGGGGTCACCCTTGCGTGTACTTCAGGGAGGGGCCGCGGGCCTGGCCGAGGTGCCCCGATCGTGCGCGTGGCGCGTGCTGGGCACCGAGCTCACCGCAGCCCCATCCCCCCCCCTGCCCCCCGCTTTTTCCGACGAAACATGACGCCGCTCAGAAAAGGAGGGAACACTGGGATACATCCCAAAAGGGGGCTTTTCGGACGCACTCCATATCGAGGATGGACGCCCACCCGTAGCCAATCCCAGCGTTGGGCCCAACATGTCTGGTCCATTTTGACAACCCCACGAAGCCTGGGATAGTGGTCGACATATCCCCTGTACTGCCCCCGCCAGCCTCCCTTGAGGCCCGAGCGTTGCAATGGTTTCACGCTGGGCGGTTTTGCCCAGTTTCGGGCCCCAGGACCCTCACAGACCGATCGGGCTTGAAGCATGTTGCAGAAAAGGTGGGGTCGAGGGTCTCGGTCGCGGTCGTGATGTTTCGCGATGTTGCAATTTGTTCGTGCCGTCGGATCTCAGGGTCTCCCTCACCCAGGGCTCAGGAAGCATGGCGACCACCCCGTGGTGAGTCGTCGGGGCTCGCAGCGTTCTGATTGTAAAGCAACGCGGCCATGTGCAAGAGCAGAATCTACTTGGGCGCTGTGGCCTACACATGGATTCAGGTGGACGCAGCAGGAATCAGGAGAAGTACGGTTCGAAAAGAGGATCAGGGTAAAGGCCCGCTAGGGCAGAGAGTCTGCGCCCACGTGGTCGAGGTGGGGTGGGGTGATGGGGGTGATAACGGTCCACATGATGTGGGGTCCAAAAGTAGACACTAGTACCGCATCCCTCACCCCCTTCCTCTCCCAGGAAAGAAGAGGGGAAGAGGAGGGTACAGGACGGAGGAGGGACGGTGGTTGTGGTGGTGGTGGTGGTGGTATATATACCAGGGGCCCGCACATGAGACCCCTCCTCCTCACCCGTCTGACTCGAGCTCCCCCTCCTCCTCCTGGCTCCTGGTCGCCTTGCTCTTCCAACTCATGATTATCGTGCTCCTGCTTCTGCTCCTCCTTCTCCTCCTCCTGCTTCTGCTCCTCCTCCTCCTCCTTCTCCTCCTCCTTTTTGACGTGATGCAAGGTTAGATCGATCTGGGCGAGTAATGTGCTGCTCGATGTGCTCTGGCTACTGTACCCTGCCAGGCGGGTACTGTCGTGGGCTCGCCAGTTGCAACGGCAGGATCACCGACTCCAGCAAGAAGTCCTCGCAGACTCTTGAGATCAAGTATGCTGCGAGGGAGCTGAACCCCAAGACGGGTGAAGCCATGGTATGATGTTGTTTCGGACAAGCGGGGAGGGTCCCTGTCCAGCACGGTCTCTGCCGCCTGGCCGGTTTGCGTGCTGCATGAGATATCTGATGCTCCCCCCCCACGTGCGGGTCCCAGTCACCCTTGCCCGCTTGTCGGTGATGCCTCCCGATGGAGCGAGCGTCGGCCACCTCAAGTCGGTCGTGGGGGATACCCTTCTTTGGCCGAGGCGCTCGCGTCAGGTAACATCAGATCGACTGGGATCGTAGCGTTCTCCTCTTCCTCCTCGATCCTCTCCTCCTCCTCCTCCTCCTCCTCCTCCTCCTCCTCCTCCTCCTCCTCCCTTGCCTCCTCCTCCTCCTCCTCTTTCCTTACCTCCTCCTCCTCCTTTCCTCCTCCTCCTCCTCCTCCTCCTCCTCCACCTCCTCCTCCCTTTCCTTCTCCTCCTCCTCCACCTCCTTCTCCTCCTCCCTTTCCTTCTCCTCCTCCTCCTCCTCTTTTTTCCTTACCACCTCCTCCTCCTCCTCCTTCTCCTCCTCCTCCCCCCTCCAGGGCATGGGCAAGAGCCGGAGGAAGTGCGCGCACCCGGAGTGCACCTACGTGGCGAGCGGCTCAGACAGAGGGGGCCCCCCGCCCCGGCGGGGCGGCAGGGCGCGGCAGGGCCTCCTGACGGTCGGACCGAGGTACAAGATCGAGGTCGGTTCGGGGAGGGTGCCCTCAGTGTTCGTCGTGCCTATTGGACGTTCTGGTGCACCCTGGGGAGGGCACCCTTGGATGTTCTGTGCGCTCTGGCAGGCGGAGTGTCTCGCGTTCTTGAAGGATGTTCGCCTTCTGTCCTGGGTCCGACTGCATCCTGGGCCTCACCCGCCGATCGGCCGGGGCGTGGTCCGTTTCGGTTCGATCGGTACGATTCAATATGTGCGCTGGCCGACATGTCGGCCGACTTGAACCAAAATGGGGACGCCGTGGTCCGCTTTTTGGGGCAGCGCGTCGGTGTCGGCCAGATCTGGGGACCTCGCCCGCCCCACAGGGTGCGCGTTGGCAAACCACACCCTTGGCAAACCACATCCTTCGGAGTCGCCGAAGCGCACTCTCCCCGGGACAGTGCCTTCGCCGCGGGCGTTGCCGGTTTCCCACGCCAGGCGTTTTTCGCCAGGTTCTGGGCCCCGAGGCCATCCGAGATCGGGTCGCTTCGAAACATGCCGCAGCGAGGTGGGGCCCAGGGCTCCGGTCGTGATTTGTTTTGGCGGTGCTGCGGCTTCCAGGAGGGGGAAACACACAGACACGATTAATCGTCGACTCCCAGGAAAATATGGGAAAATATGGGAACTGGGGGGGAAGACAAAAACCCAGAAGATATGGGAAAATATGGTGAGTCCTGGGATTTGTGTCCATCTCTTTGTGTGTCCTTTGGCCCCTTCAAGCTTGTTCGCAGTCTCAGATGTTTTGGTTCTGGCATGGGGCAGGGCGGGTGTGGGCATATGCAGACCGCCGGTGGCCCACCGACATCGCGCCGCTCCTACGCAGCTCGTTCTTGTGCCCGCTCGGAGTAGAAGAAACATGAGTTTGTCGTGTTCGCTTGATTCTTGTGGCGGCCTCCAGAGCTTTGGAAATTCGAGGCAGAGTTGTTCACCGATCTTCGTCCCCTCGGAGCCGTTTTCGGGCTCGGCGTTTAGAGGTCAGGGGATCCCAGATCGATCGAACTCAGGACAGCCTTCCAGACCCTGGCGGCTTCAGCGCGCGCCGGGCGCGAGTGCGCGCTGTCACGTTCTCGAAGCCTGGGAAGCCAGCCGCGCATTGGGCGTGGCAGTGGGCAGTCGTATGGCCATGGGTCGGGATCGGCGCCGGGCCACAGACCATCGCCGGCCGGCAGGTCCCGATGCGGCTGTGGTGCCCATCGCAGGGGCGCGGGGGCAGCCGCGCACAGCTCCGCGGTCCGTGTGACGGGGGCGTCCTTTTGCCCTTCCCCGAGCGGCGGCGCACGAGCACGGCGATGAGCTCGCTGCGCACGCGAGGCAGCGCGAAGTGTGAATGTAGGTGGCCTAGGCGTCCAATCTGAGCCACCCAAACTCACCACCCACCAAAGCACCCCAACCCTATCCGAAGGCCCGAATTTGCCTTCCATTCACAGTACCCCCCCCTAACCCGACATTAGGGTCTTCGGTTTGGGTTGAGGTGGTCTGGTAGGTAGTCACGGGGCCAGTGTGTCTTCGGTCGAGCGTCGCGCCGCATCGTCGACGCATCCGCGAAGCAGTGCGATCCTGGGCCCCATCTGCCCCGGCCCCATTCAGACGGCCTGCGCCTGAGGTGAACAGCGACCCTTCGATCAGCACGAACTACTGCTGCGAGAAGTGCGAGGGAGTCCACCAGGGGGCCGACTGGGCGGAAGGGGGCAAGCGCCACTACAAGAGCTGCGAGAAGATCGAGGTCGGCTCGCCCGAGGCGGCAGGCTACGGGGGAGGAGGCTGGGGCTGCGCCGGCGGGATGTGCAAGGGCGGCAAGAAGGGCTGGGAAAGCGCCTACGACCCATACGCGATGTGGGCCATGTGGGCCGGCAAGGGCGCGAAGGGAGGCAAGGCTTGGGGCAAGGGCTTCGAGTCCTGGGGCAAGGGCGGCGGCGGCGGCAAGGCGCGCACGGACAGCGGGCTGAAGAACCACCCCGCCGAGAACAAGGTCTGGGTCGGGGACCTGCCCGAAGGCATCACGGCTGAGGACCTGACGGCCCACTTCGGCCTCGCGGGCACCGTGAAGCTGGCGGCGCTGATGAAGACCGGCACCGCTGGCCTAGCCTTCTCGGACGCGACCGAGGCCCAGGCTGCCGTTCTGCACCTCAACGGCACGGAGATCGGCGGGAAGACTATCCAGGTAGACGTCTGGACAGGCAAGTGACTTCCTCCTTCTTCTTCTTCTTCTTCTTCTTATTCTTCTTCTTGTTTTTCTTCTTATTCTTCTCCTTGCCCTCCTTCTATCCTTCTCCTTACTCATCTTTCCTCATCTTCATCCTTCTTCCTTACTCCTTCTTCTTGCTCCTTACTCCTTCTGCTTGTTCCTTCTCCTTCCCCTTACTCATTATTATCCTTCTCTTACTTTCCTCATTACCCTTTCTTCCTTACTCGTTATTCCTCCTTATTCTTATTATTATCCTTGCCCTTCTTATTCCTCCTCTTCATCCTTACCCTCCTTCTTCTTCTCCTCCGCCTCGTCCTGCTCCTCCGCCTGGCCTGGCCTGGCCTGGGGATATGCAGGCATGCTTTCCCCATGTTGTTATTCGAAAAACAATGCCCCTCTTTCCACTTCCGTCTCCGTCGCCGTCTGCGTCGCACTCCGCGGCAGATCGTCTGGGCGGCTCCGACCGAAGCATCGGCCGGCTCCCATCAGTAGAGGCGCTTTCGTCGGCGTTTCGTTGGTTTGTGGGGGAGGTGGCCAGGTGCGGAGTACTAGAGGGGCCACGTGTTCTCGCGTCGTCTGCCCCTGGCCTCTCCGAGCGCCGTGGACGTCGAGCGTTCTTCCCCGCGCGCATGCGGTAACTGGCCAGATCGTTCGATATGTAGGTGTGTATGCACGTATGTATATATGTATGTTTGTATGTCTGTATGTATGTATGTCAGTCTGTCATTATGTCTGCATATCTGTATGTCTGTGTGTCTGTATGCCTGTATGGATGTATTTATGTACGAATGTGAATACGCATGTAGGTATGCGTGCATGTATGCATATATATATATATAGATGTATGTGTATATGTATGTCTGTATCTATGCATGCATGTATACATGCATATCTGCATACATGTCTGCATGCATGCATGTACGTGTGTAGATATGCATGCATGTGTATGTGTGTATACATGCAAGTATGCATGGACGCATATCTATGTGAATGTGTCTGTGTATTCATATATATATATATGTATAGACATACTTATATGTATGTTATGCATGTATGCATGCAGGTATGTATGCCTGTATGGAAAATACATGCATTTGTGCATGTCTATATGCATGCATGGCTGTATGTATGCATTCATGTGTGTATGCATGTAGGTATAGGTGTGTGTATGTAAGCATTCATATATCTATATGTATGTATCTCTGTATGTCTGTATGCATGTAATGTTGTATGAATGTGTGCGTACGCATGTGTGAATGTATATATGTATGTGATTCTAAGAATATATATATATATATGTGTGTGTGTGAATGTATGTTTGTCGGAGGTGAGGGGGTGAGATCGAAGTGGAACGGAGAGCCCCCCTACCAGGAAATCGGCTTCGGTTTCGTGTTCGTGCGTGCCGTGCGTGCGGGTGAGGCGAAGCTGCGTGGGCGGGCGAGAAATGTCCCGCCTCTGGCTGAGGCGCGGCCGGACCAAAAGTCTCCCTACTAGCAACTGGTGCCGCGCGGTGTCCTGCCCGTGTCCCGCCGGTGTCCCGTCGGCGTCCCGATGATGATGATGATGATGATGATGATGATGATGACGATGTTGATGATGATGATGATGATGATGATGGTCATGGTGGTGATGATGATGGTGTCCCGATGAAGATGTTGATGATGATGTTGATGATGCTGATGCTGCTGATGATGATGATGGTGTCCCGATGATGATGATGATTTTGATGTTGATGATGATGCTGATGTTGATGATGATGAGGTGATGATATGAGGATGATGATGATGACGAAGCTGATGATGATGATGCTGATGATGTCCCGATGATGATGCTGTTGATGATGATGGTGATGATGGTGTCTCGATGATAATGGTGATGTTGATGATTATGGTGATGACGGTGATGGTGTCCCGATGATGGTGATGTTGATGATCAAGATGATGATGAGATGGTGATGATAATTTTGATGGTGGTGGCCCGGTGATGATGATGCTGATGTTCATGATGATGATGGTGTCCCAATGATGCTGATGGTTGTGATGATCATGATGGTGACGATGATGGTGGTGTCCCGATGATGATGATGATGTTGATGGTGATGATGATGTTGCTGATGATGATGATTGTGTCCCGATTATAGGATGATGTTGCTCAGGATGGTGATGAAATGATGATGATCATGATGGTGGTGTTCCGATGATGATGATGATGGTGTCCCGATGATGATGATGTTGATGATGGTGATGGGATGATGATGATAATTTTGATGATGGTGACCCGATGATGATGATGCTGATGTTGATGATGATGATGGTGTCTCAATGATGCTGATGGTGGTGATGATGTTGGTGACGATGATGATGGAGTCCCGATGATGATGATGTTGCTGATGATGATGATGTCCCGATGATGATGATGTTGTTCAGGATGATGATGATGATGATGTTGCTGATGATGATGTTTCTGATGATGATGGTGTCCCGATGATGATGATGTTGATGATCATGATGGTGACGATGATGGTGCCCCGATGGTGGCGATGATGGTGATGGTAATAATCGCTGTGGTGATGATGATGATGGTGTCCCAGTGATGATGATGATGATGATGGTGATGTTGCTGATGATGATTATGGTGTCCCGATGATGGTCATGATGATGACGTTGTTTATGATCCTGATTCGGTTGATGATGTTGAGATGATGAGATGATGATGATGAAGATGATGATGTTGATGGTGTCCCGATGATGATGATGATGTGGTTGATGATGATGTTGTTGGTGATGATGATGGTTATGGTAATGGTGTCCCGATGGTGATGATGTTGATGATGGTGATGATGACGATGATGGTGTTCGATGATGATGATGGTGTTGACGATGAGGATAACGATGATATGATGATGAGTTTGATGATGGTGGCCCGATGGTGATGGTGACGCTGATGTTGATGATGCTGATGGTGTCCCGACGGTGATGGTGGTGATGATGGTGATAACGATGGTGATGGTGTCCCGATGATGATGATGATGTTGCTGATGATGATGTTGCTGATGATGGTGATGGTGTCCCGATGATGATGGTGTCGGCGATGTTGTTCATGATGATGATGGGATGGTGGTGCAGATGATGCTCATGCTGGTGGTGTTCCGATGATGATGACGATGATGCTGTCCCGATGCTGATGATGTTGGTGGTTATGATGGTGACGATGATGGTGTCTAGATGATGATGATGATGATGATGATGGTGATGATGATGATGCTAGTGATGATGCTGTTGATGGTGATGGTGATGAGTTGATAATGATGATGGTGTCCCGGTGATTATGATGATGGTGTTAATGACGTTGGTGACCCTGATGTCGATGATGATGATGACGTTGGTTGTGAAATCGATTGTGATGTCGATATTGGTATCGGTAGTGAGACCGAAGGTGAGAGATATTGTGAGATCGATCGTGAGATCGATAATGGGATCGGTTGTGAAACCGATCGTCATATCGATTGTGAAATCGATCGAATGACATAGATCGAGTGATATCGATTGTGAGACCGATCGAGTGAGATCGATCGAGCGAGACCGACAGTGAGATCGATAGTCGACGACAACGACGACAACGACGAGGGAGGAGGGAGGACGGCGACGACGCGAACGACGAAGAAGGAAGAAGGACGGCGACGCCGACGACGACAACGACGAGGGAGGACGGCGACGACGACGACGACGACGACGACAACGACGACGACGACGACGACGCCGGCGACGAAATAGGAGGGACGACGACGTGACGCCGACGACGGACGACGACGACGACGAGGGAGGAGGAGGAGGGACGACCACGGCGACAACGA